ACACCACACTATCTAGCCTCCCACCTGCTGTGTGGCGGTGCTGCCGCGTCCCCGATTGCCGGCGTCACTCGCCGCACCCACGCCCTTCTGCGGCGTCGCGAACAGCAGCGGCGGAGGCGTGTCGTCGGCCGACCCCAGGAGGGAGGTGCATGGCGCACTGGACGAGAGCGAGTGGTGCCGCTCCACCACCGGCAGCCGCAGGTCCGTCAGGGACTTGGTGTGGGTGTGCCGGGCAGCCGCGCACCCCGTCGCCATGCGTGGGGTCGAGATGGTGGCTCGAACGGCTGATGAGAGTGCGCTGGGGGGAGACGGCGTCTGTGGATGCGGCTGTGCCTGGGGGTGGGGGTGTGGGCACTTGTCGGCCACACTGCCGGCCGTCTTGTCGCGGACGGCATCTCGTGCGATGGGGTAGCCGCCTGGCTCCTGACACGCCGCCTTGTGCGTGGTGGTGCCGTGTTCCGACAGACACGACAAGGTGGACATGCTGGCGAAGCTCGTGATCCCCCCGCTGGGGATGCTGGGGATGCGCGGCACCACGCGCTCAGAATCACGTTCGCTCGGGGCGGCCGAGGGGGGCGACGGCTGCTTGCCGTCCTCCAGCGTGTCGGCGGGCACTTGTGGTGGTTGTGGTTGTGGGGGTGGGGGTGGTGTGGGTGAGGGAGATGGGGGCGTGTATGCCCGGGAGGGTTTGATCTGAGGCTTCTGCCATCGGTAGAGCAGGCCGCTGCGTGCGGCCGTGACGGCCTCCACTCGGTCCTGGCAGCGGGGCAGGTGCCCTGACGCAACGATCTGCACGGAGAAAAAGAACAGAGAGGGAGGAAATGGACGCGACCGTCAGCCAGTGCTTTGTGTGTGCTGTGCTGTGCTGGACGGCGAGATGCACCGCACACCTTACCTGGTCAATGGATTTCTCGTACGTAGCGATGAAGTCTTCGCATTCCCGAGATACCGCCGTGTTGGCCACACTGACGCTAATCGACCAACGACTGGCCTGATGCGATCAATACACAGACAGACAGACAGTGTGATGAGGGGTACATGTGTGGGTGGTTGGGTCGGTGGCTGCGCGTACATCTCTGGGCGGCAATGGGTTTTCTGACGACAAGGCTCCCGCCTCCCACTCGTCCAGGGGGTCACGGGAGACCTTTACACGAGACAGACAACACACAACACCACGCACACACACACAGGAGTGGGGTGGCTTCCACACACCTATGCCCTTCAGCTCCGCGTACATTTAGTGTAGTTGTGAGAGAGGTGTCGACGGCCGACAGGACGAGATCCGGCGGATAAGGACACGACACAGCACGCCGCCTGATGAACAACAGCCCCTCGTGTGCACGACTTTGTATCAAAGCTTTGGCCTGTGTGCCATACATGAGATAGTAGGCGATAGGGATGAGGAGCAGCTGCGCGGCTGACGAGAGGATGCTCGCGACCACACCAAACGTCAGCACCTTATACCTGACATACACACACACACACGAACGACACGTATGCACCCACCCTCTCCCTCCCTCCCTCCCTCCCTGTCTGTTTGAGAGTGACCTACCATTCAGCAGTGTGTGATGGTTCCTCCGGCAGGCTGTGCGTGGAGTTGCCCCCGTCGCCCTCTGCTGTGAAGGTGGGCGTGTCGCCGGTGGGGATGAAGTGGTGACCGACGACGTACGGGAGGGACACGCGCGTCACCCACAGGGTCAGCAGCAGCACGTTAAAGAAACCACTGCATGGGAGGGGAGGGTGAATGAGTGCACAAGGCAAGTTGGGACACTCAGGCACGTGTGTGTGTGTGGGTGTGTGGGTGTTGGTGGTGGTTTGTGCGCGATTCGCTCACGAGGCGATGAATAGCTGCAGTTCTCTTGTGCGTCGCCTGTAGACGGCCCAGAGGCCGGTCGAGAGGATACTTGTGCCGAGGAAAAACTGACACACACACGGCCATCGTGGGCACCGGCATCTCCTCAGAAAGTCGCTGCCTCTCAACTCACGTACCTCAAAAAACGCAGGGCCAACGTAACTCTCTGATCACACAGCCAACCGACCAACAGAGAGAGGGAGGAAAACATGCCCGCCATCTGAGTGGGTGTTTGTCTCTCGTTTGTGTGTGAGTCTTTCGTACGCAGGAAGACATGCGCGGCGACGAACATGACTAGGAAGAAAAGCGCAAAGGTCCACACGATCACAAACGACCTCTGCAGGAACACCTCATGCTGAGCTCCCCGCTGACCACAACACACGACACAAGACACGAAACCAACACTTGATGATGAGCGCTCATCATCAAGTGGCATGTTGGCCCACCTTGATCCTGCTCTGTTCACTGGGCGTCCTGTTGGCATCTTGGGCAAACGGAGGCCACCGTATCCTCAACAGTGAGCAGCACCAGGCAGACATCGACGTTGCTCGGGCATTGGCTCTGTCGTCCTGCGCGTGTGAGGTCCGGCGCTGGACAAGGATGGGCTGCGATGCCCGGCGGGCGCGGGTGGCCGCCGCTCGGGGGGGAGGCATCCCAAATAGATGCCGACGCGAGTCACGGGAGACCTCGAGGCTCTGAGAGCCGGAACTTGCCACAGAGGCGGCAATTGGATAAGGGCGCCGCTGCTGGATTCACTAAGAGGCAGTGAGCTGAAGCAGATTACTCAAACCGGGAAGAACGAACGAACGAACGACAGAAACACAAAGCTCGCAATTGCGAGCTCAAACATGAAAACCGCCAAAAGAAGCCCATTATACGCTCATGCACGCACACAGACAGACGCACATAGATCTCATGCGTTGAGCGCCGTGTGTGCAGGCACTACTCGCCCCACCACCCACCCACTACCACCCACCTGCGAGTCTCCACTCGATCCACACCAAATGCAAATGGCGGAGATGCTGAATGGTGCAGGTTTGCAATGCCGACATTTGCAGCAGTGTGGAGGTGCAACGGACAGTCGCGTTGCTGCGGAAGCATTATGTGTAGATGTAGGCGATGTAATCGCACGGTTGTGAGAGACACGTTCTGTTGTCGTTGTACTTGTGTATAGATTGCGTTCAAAACTGCAGCGCTGCGTGCATTCTGCGCATCGTGTGTGCATGAGTCTGTTGCGCTCAGGCAGTCAGTCGATCAGGGTGTGTTCGTCACCGTCTGTCTTGTCCTCAGGCAAAGAAAGAAGCTCTACACCTGCACCCATCCACCATCCACTAAAGCAGCCATCCACCCATCCAGCCATCCATCCATCCCCCTCCCACTGCTCCATCCATCAATCCTCCCCTTTGCCAACCACTTGTACCAAAGGCAGGCAGGCAGACAGGCAGGCAGGCAGCTCGCATGGAAAGAAACCACATAATGAAGCACATGGGTGCGTGGATCCGGGAGAAAGGACGGCCCTGCGTCTAGGCACTTCATCCCTTGAGTGGCTGCTTGTCAGTGAGGTGGAAGGACTTGGTCGTCTCCTTGAGCTCCAGAATGGGGTGTTCGTCCGCCAGCCTTGTCGACACGCCACGCACGTCTGCCGCCGCACATCAACAAACAACAGACAGGTCGACCATGCTCTCCCCCCGTGTGTCTCTGCCTTGAGCAGCACTGTGTTTGATTTACCGAGTGGGGCGTCCTCGTAGTATTTGAAGAGGGGCTGTCCGTCGACCTGTCCGGACGACACGAACACCTCGAAGGATGCCTTGTCGTCAACGGGCTTCGTGGGCGTCAAAGGCTTGCTCGTGCTGGCGCAAGGGTGGATAGCAACACGCACAGGGAAATGCACACAATACAGCGCTTGCATGGTTGCGTGTGTACCGATTGACGGGCGTGTTGGGCAGGGCGTGAGGGAGGAAGTCACTGGGCAGCTTCTTGCCGCAACATGCACACTGAGATGAGGAGACACAAGACAGTATGCACATATGAAAGAGCTCATGCACGTGGTGTACTCGCCTTGCAGCTGGGGTAGAAGCCACAGCAGTAGTCATCAGCTCTCTGGTCAGGGGTGCCAAAGCTGCCGTTGTCCAGCCTGCACACAGTATATGCACACAGTATATGCACACACAGGGAGAGTGAGACAGAGAGAGGCAGTGTCTGTCTCCGCGGTGAGCACTGACCGGTAGGTGCCCTCCTTTCCAAACTCGTCAAGGTACGTGCCCTCTCCGTGCTGCACGTCGTTCTTCCACTCGCCATCGTAGAAGCGCTGCTTGCCCAGCTTGTCCTTGACAGCAGGGGAGCTCTGGAACTTGGCCGCGGCACCGTCGCCCACCTTGCCATCCTTGTACACGAACTTGCCCGTGCCGTGGCGCTTGCCACCCTGGAAGTTGCCGTCGTACACACCCTCCTCTGCACACAAGCACCAGGCGGACGGACGCGGCCGTTAACAGAGTGTTTGTGTGTTGGTAGTGTGTTGTGTCATGTGTACTGAGGAAGAGTTTTCCCTTTCCGTCCGGCAGGTCGTCCTTCCACGCGCCCTCGTAGATCCTCTCGCTGCCCTTGAACAACTCGCCTGACATCGATGATGCATGGAATGGACGAATGAGTGAATGTGTCTGTCTGTCTGTCTGTGTGGTGTGTGCTTACTTACCCTTTGCACCGCTCCTCTTTCCGTTGAGCAGTGGCCCGGTGTATGTGTATCCGTCGCCACAGTCCAGCGACGACACATCGCCAGCAGCAGGAATGTCCTTCTCCCACTGCGTCAACCACAAAAGAATCGGTAACTTGATACACACACGTTCCCTCCCTCCCTCCCTCCCTCTCTGTCTGTCTGTGTGTCCGTGTGTCCGTCTCTGACCTTTCCTTTGTAGATCTTGGTTCCGTTCTTGTCCGTGAGTTCGCCCTCCTGTCCCTCGGCAGTGTGTCTGAGTCCCTTGCTGAAGGGGCCCTTGTACGTCTTGTCATCGAAGAACACCATGGTGCCGCTGTCCCGGTCGTTGCCAATCATGCCGCGGCTGCACGGGCCTACGTACGATCTGACACACACACGCAACACGATACGACGGGAGGAGTGGGGGTCTCTCTGTGGGTGTGTGTGCGTCGGTTGGCATCTTACTTGAATGGGAATGTCTGTTCCATGGATGGTGCGATCGTGATCCTGGCCTCCCGGCACTCCAACAAATCGTTCTGCACGCCATATACGGTGCAGGATGCATGGATGGACGTGTTTGATGCATCCTTCCTTCTCCACACCACCTCCTAAACCCATCGACCCACCTGCCACTCCCCCTTGATGTCGAAGAGCACAGGGCTCCTGAATGTCTTGCCGCCGTCCGCGAGCTGTCCGATCTCCAGCACGCCCTTGCCGTGTCTGAGTCCGTCCTTGAACTCCCCCTTGTAGCGGAGGTCGGCCGTCTGGGTGCCCACCTTGACCTTGCGTACCAGCTCGCCGTAGCCGTGGGGCTTGAAGTCCTTCCACCCACCCTCGTAGCGGAACCCGTACTCGGGGTGCTGGCACACAAACGTGCCCTTCGCGGCCTGCCCGCGCACCTGGGTCGCCACGGTCGTGTCGGGCACACCGTTTTGCACGGGGCCGTCATAGGCGGAACCGTCAAGGAAACTGATGAAGAGTGAAAGGAGAGATGCGGGATTGTGTGAATTGCGTGAGGGAGGTGGGTGGGTACCGGATGGTGGCTTCGGTGTCGGTGCAGCTGTTTTGGAAGTTTTCGTGCATGGGTCTCCATTTCTCCTTGTGCGGCAGCCACTCGTCCATGCCCTCCTTAGTCATCACGTATGCGATCTGCAAATCAGCGTCAGTCCTGCACACACAAACGGACAGGGATAGTCAAGACACGCAGACTCCCCGCTTCTCTGTCATGGCGTGCCATTTTCTCACCTAGCGCCGAGTGTCCTGGCTGAAGCGGGGCTGAGTTCCACGAGAGCGTCCTCGTCCTTACGTGCCTTGGCCAGTGCCCGCCTGCGGTCCTCCTCGGCCTTCAAAGCCACCTCGTCCTCCAACTCATCGGGCAGCGACGCATCACGCGGCTTGGGCAAACCAGCCTCAAAACCAGGCTCAGCCGGGGCGAACTTGCCCTGATTGATCGACCCAACACATAAACACACACACATGCATCAACTCAATACGCCCGCATCTTACACATCCCTGGCTACCTTGTATTGGTCGATGATGAGCTTCTCGTCTGCCTGTCCCCTGAGCTTCCTGGCGGGGTCGTCGACGTTGATGATGCGGAGCTGGCCCTTGCCGCACATCTGGTCGTTCGAGAATTCACCACGGTACTCACGGGGCAACCCACGCTGGTAGATAGAAATACCATGACACACCAATCAACCGACGGGGACCGAGATGTGCGACTTTACCGCATCACGGAAGACGAAGATGCCCTTGCCCCAACGCTTGCCATTGGCCCACTCGCCCTGAACGAGAGCCAACCAAAGACATGTGCCGTGTCTCTCTCTGTGTGTTCATTGTGGCGTTATCCACACACACCTACCTCATACAGGGGGCTTTCGTCACGGTCCATGAGTATGCCCCTGCCGTGGTAGCGATGGTGGCTGAACGCACCCACGTACCTGCACACACATGTGCACACACATGCCGGCCACACACATCAACGGCAGTGGGGCCATGTGGGTGCGTGTGTGTGTGTGTGTATGATTGCGTACTTGCCGAGCATCCTGCTCTCGTCAGCGATGATGTCCTTGCCCTCTTGGTACTCGTAGTAGACCTGTATACTCACGCACAGGTGCACAGTGCTGCCATTGCGGTCAGCGGCCGCGTGCATCTCTTACCTGTGTGGCGTCCTTGTCATGTCTGAGGTAGATGTCGGCCTTCCTGGGGTTGGGGTGACCGATCACGCGACCCTGGTAACTGCAGCCATACAAGAGAATACACACACACGGAGAGAGAGCCGTCGAGTGTATTGAGAGAGGTGAAGAGGAGAAGTGTGTAGTTCACTGACCCGTGGATGAATTCGTCGGGTTTGTGCATGTGTGCGGCCTTGATCAGTGTCTCCCAGAGGGCGTATTTGTCGCCCGTCATGCGCAGCATCATGAGGTGTTTGGTGTAGGGGTCGGTCTCGGGCTCCCGCGTCTCGCGGAACTTTTTGGCGTCCAACTCTGTCTCCTTGAAGAGGAAATCGTACTCCAACTCAGCGTTATTACGGCTGTCGCGCAACATGATCTGGCGCAGACACCGACACACCCGTACAAAGCACGGGTGCAGCCGGCGATGTGATGCGTCTGTGTGTGTTTACCTGGTTGGACTTCTGTCCGTCTCGCATCTTGGATGCTCCCTTGCCTCTGGCGCTGTCCTCTCCATCGCCCTCCTCGTCATACCAGTCGATTTGCTGCACAAGGCGCATCCCCTCCCCGTCTCCCTGTGTGTCCCTGTGTGTGTATTCAGGTAACGTACGTCTTCCTTGGTCTCATCGGCTTTGATGAGGTAGAGCCAGTGGTCCATCTCATCCAGCAGCATCTGGTGCGATTTGATGGCAGTGCTATTGTCAGCAACTGGTCACACACACAGGCAAAGAAATGGGCGCCATGGCAGGCGTGACGTGTGCTGCTGGGCTAAATGTCCGGTGCTCACCTTTGTTCTGCTTGGCCTTGCCTGCGCCAATGGCTCCCAAGAGGCCGAAACGACGCAAACGGATGTGGAGGATCTTCCTGCACACAGTAGGTTGTGGAGGAAGAGGAGGAAATAAGACAGGACGGAGACGCCATGAGCAGACACCAGGAATGCGTGTGTGTGTGCATGTGTGTACCTCTTGATGAAACGCTGCTTTCTTCCATTGTCATCTGGCCGGTCAGCCTTGTCCTCGTCAGCATAGTGCTTGAGCTCCTGATGGATGCCCAGCAAATACATGGATGGATGGATGATATCCCCACTGCATTCACCCATCCATGTGTGAGTGGTGGCTGACCTTGCCGGTTTTCGTGTCGATGACTCCGATCATGGTGACAGGGTTGGGGATCATCACCTTCACGTGCGTGGCCGAAAACTGCACAGACAGGCAGACAGACAGACAGAGACGTGCATGATAGATGTGTTGCGTAGAGCGACACCTGTGAGTACCTGCAACATGCAGATGAACCAGGTGGGATTGTCGAGGAGTGGTTTGCCGCTCCTTTTGTCGAATTCGTAGAGGGCCACGGCGCCCTGGTGGGGCAGAAGCGGGTCGGGACCCCAACGAGCGGGCAACTCTGCGCAGAATCGAATCAACCACAGACAAATGTATAAGAAAAGGTTGACGGACTGACACGATGCAGAGTGAATGTGTAAGGCATCTATATGTGTGTGTATGCTCACCTCGCTTGCGTCGGCGGATGTCCCTGGCGTCGGCGACGAAGTGCAGGGAGCACTTGAACTGCTTCATCGTCTGGTTCTCCGGCCGATTCACCACTTCCTCAAGCTGACCGAGAGACACATCAAGCAAGCGACAGTGGATGAATCAATGTCAGTTCGTGTGTGCCCTTGCCGCGGCTCCTGACCCGCTCCATGATGAGGTCCTTGACGGCCGCGTATCGGCTCTTGGGCCGCCCCTTGGCATCCAACACGCCGTCGCTCGTAGACAGAGACGCGCCCACCTCGTTCTAAATACACGAGCACACATGACCATATTTTCGCTCTCTGCTCTTGCTAGTCTTCGTCGCTTACCACTAGGAAGTCCTTCACTTCGGCCTCCCAGGCCTCCATCTGCTTCTGACGGTTACCCTGACAAGCATGATGTGAGCCGCGCTGACTGACGCGTGCCGCGCTTGAAAGGTGCGTGTGCGTGTGTCAGTGCGTCTGTTTGCTAACCTCCTTGCGCAGGTCGCTGATGTGGACTTTGAAGGGGATGAATTTGTCCTTCCGCATGCGATCGTATATCTCCTTGTTCTCGTCGGGCTGGAGGGTCTCGAATGCGTACTTGAGGTACTTGTCCAGCTTCAGGTACTCGATCTCCGATATCACAATGGGCTCGGCCAGCTCCTCGCCCTCGCCACCCTCCTCGCGCTTGGGCTTCTTGAGGTCGTCGAATTTTGTCCTGACGGTCTCGCGGACCTCGCCGAGGATGCGCTCGAGGGTCTGCATGTGGGTCTCGTTCATCGTCGGCAGCTGACTCAACTCCTGCATCAGCACACACAAAAGGCCGGGCAGTGAAATGGCCGGACTTGTTATACTGCTGTGACTGACGTGACACTTCTTCGCAGCGGCAGCCCAGATCTCCCACTTCTTCTCCTCCTGCAGTCACCAAGTCACCAACAGTTTCATGTGAAGGCCCCCATTTTCACTCACTCACTCACCGCGGCCAGGAAGTCAGCTCGTTTCTTGATGAGGTCCAGGAGTTTGGTGTTGCCCTCCTTGTCGTCAGCCGTGGGCAGCGACTTAAGGTTGATCGTCCCCTCCGTCTCCTTGCGCAGATCGGACGGCGACATCGACTCAGACTGCACAGCACACAGGAGAAAGACATGGCGGGTCTTGCGTGGGCATGGATGGGATGGCTGACCAGGCTAGCTCTGGACGCTTTGGTGGTCAGGCGTTTGAAGGTGGATGAACGCGTCTTGTAACGCTCGGCCATTGCGGCGAAACTGCACACACACACACACACACACGCGAACACGCGTACGAGAAGCGAGATGCGCATGATAAGTGGCTCACTCGGGTTGGACGATGTAAGTTCCCTCGGACTCTGAGAGTGCCTTGACGATGAAGCAGGGGATCCAGTCCTCACTCTGCTCAGGCACCTCCTCGCCCTGCAAATTCTTGCACGTGCGGCACAAGACGTCACGCACCGTCCTGCACACACGGAAGGAAGACACACACGGCCGTCTCTCTTCCTCTTGCATGCATGGGTGATGATGGCTTGGCATTGCCTACGTGGAGATGACCTCCCACACTTGGGCGAAGAGGCCCTTGGCCTCCATCTCGGCTGAAAACAAAAACGAGTGCTTGATGGGCTGACCCTGCACACAAACACGCACAGGCAGCGTTCGAGAGGGAGTAAAGACTATGGGGTCGTTCTCTCTGTGTGTGTCTCACCTCGTGGGTTCCGAGGTCAATTTTGCCCAGGGGTGGTGTCAATTTCTTGTCGGCGAAGAGCGACAAAACAGAATCCTGGTACGAGTACTCCTTGTAGTTGCTCTCGCACGTGCGATCGTCGTGATTCACAATCTGAGGGGAACAAACAAAGGCGATGAATGAACGGTCCTGTTGGTCTGCCGGCCGGCCGTAGATCCCTTCCATTTATAAGTACATGGATGGTGGCGACGAGTTGTGTGATGGAGTCGCTCTCGATGAACTTCTCGAGCGGCACCTGGATGGGCAGCACCTCACGCCATCTGGTCCGCTGCACCGCGCGGCCCCACACCGACATTGACTTGCACATCTCGTAACTGACCACACAGAGAGCACACAACACGTGTCCATGCAGACAGAGCCGGCATGGCCTGAGGTGATCTTGGTCACCGGAGTCGGTCGGGTTTCGTCTTGAGTCCGAGTTTCTCCTTGGTCGCGTCAGACCACTCCAACTGCAGACACAGACACAGACACACGGACAAGACGATCACCGATGCAAGCCGGCGCAATAGGGACGATTCTTATTGCCTTACCTCTCCCTCCATGAAGATGCCGAGTTCGTTGACGTACAGGCCGATCTTGCGGACCTTGTTCTCGAGCGGAATGGTCACGCTGGCCGTCTCGGGCTCAGGGATGGCACTGGGGTCGTGGCGACCGCACTCATTGCACGTCAGGAAAAAGCTACACAAGGAGGGAGGGAGGGAGGGACGACTTGTATGGGTGTCTCTCGGCTGTGTGTAGGGGGTGAGGGCGTGTCTACCACGCGGAGAGCATCCACTTCCATATGAGCTGAGTCTGGTCGTAGATGAAGACCTTGATGTCGTCGGCCTGCACACACGCATGAGAAGAAACACCCGAACTGTCTGTCAGTCTCCCGCCCACATGCCCCGTCCGTCACTCACCGACTGGACGATAGTGATCATGTACTCCTTGATCTCCTTCAGCTGATGCGACGCTGCCTGGAAGTTCATGATGATCTGCACACACGCACACACGCGCAGACAGACAGAGACTCAGCCCAAGACTCACGCCTGTGTCCTCTGTGTGTGTCTTAGTCAGTGCCCCTTGCCCCACCCACCATGGCGGCGACAGTGGTGAGGATGCAGTAGAAGGTGGCCAGAGGAGGGTCAACTGTCATCATCCGCTGGTGAGCTGACACACAACAAACGTTCACACAATAAGCGAGAGGCCGATGGTCAGTGTCTCTCTCTGTGAGTGGTTTTCCTGAGTTGCTCACCCAGGAGGAGGAAGAGGAGCGTGAGGATCATGAGGACGCCCGTGAAGACCGGCCCCCAAAAGAACTCGTGCAGCAGACACGCGGGGAAGCCCTTGAACATCGGCCGGTCGAAGACACTGCACACACACATACAAAAGGTTTCTTGGACAATGCATCTCTGAGGGTGTGTCTGTATGATCTACCTGTCCCATGCTTTGCCGCATCTGAATGTGAATTTCTCCCAGTCTTGCAGCGACTCATAGTTGCGCTTGTCGATCTTGTCAACCATCTGACACGCCGCCACACACACAGAGACACAGGGACACACAGCCAACCCAGTACATGCACAGGTGTCGACATTGCCCACCCACCCACCTCCTGGATCTTCTTGGGCTCCTGGCAGTAGCTGTCGTTGTCGCACATGTTGTCAAACTCGATGGCCTTGACCTTGGTCATCGCCATGCACGACACGTCGGTCTTCTCACCAGGGTACTCGGGCAGCAGAATCTCCGGGTTGTTCTTCTCGAACTCGCGGATGGCCTTGAGCTCCTTCTTGATCTGATCCACCTGGTAGGCCCGCAGGTTCTCCATCTTGGCGTAGGTGCGGCGCAGCGCCTCGGCAGAATAGGTCGTGGCGGGGCCAGTGATCTCCTTCACTTTGCCGTCCGGCTGCAGCTCGCCGCGGTGGGCGTCCAAACAGGGCACCAACTGACCACACACACATACACGTTGAAGAGAAAGCAGAGACATTTCGGAGACGGGGAGTTTTTCTGTTTGTTTGTGGGAGTATTACCGAGTATTTGAGTTTTTTGGGTTGGCAGTATGCAGTCTGGTCGGGTTTGTATGTGACCTGCTTGACCCAGTAGTACTTCTCCTCTTTGTCTTCCTCGGCCTTGTACTTGCACAGGAAATCGCCGGGCTCCTTGCCCTCACGCGTCCATTTGTGCTGCAAACACAGACACAGGGAGAGAGAGAGAGACACCACACACCATGAAAGAACCAATTTGTGCTGGTGCTGGTGCATGTGCGTCCGTGGTTCTGACCGCCTTATCATGGTTTTTCTCCATGGCGTCTCGGGCGTTCTCGACTGCAGGGACGATCTGGGCGAGAGTGATGATGATGTTGAGCAGGCAGAAGATGAAGATCTGATCGAACCCATCTAATGACAGGACACACACAGGGAGTCAGCAGTCAGTGTGTGGCTGCTGGTGGTGGTGGCCATCGTGTCACATACCTGAGTCGTGCCAGGAGAAGATGAAGATGGTGGCCAGAAGCATGTTGAGCCGGGTCACCGCAAAGAAGCCAAACGCACCCTGACGGGCCCTGCAACAGACACATCACACGCGCGACATACGCTACACCGCGATCGCCACTGCCTTAATTGACCTACTTGGCGAACATGAGGCCGTATTTGTTGGTGTGCTCCATCTGCATCCTGCATCAACCAGGAGCCCAAACCCACAGATACACACATGTTATCGGTCCGTCGCCGTGTGTGTTGGTTGCTGCCTGCCCCTCCCATCACACACGTACATGTCGACGGGCACGTAGTAGGTGAGGTCGCCTCCGCCGGTAGAGAGGGGGTACAGGTGGCCCAGTTGGATGTCCACACGGAACTCCATCTCGCGATCGTACGCGTTGCGCAGGTTCAAACTGCAAGCACGTATTTCATGCAGCACACAGACAGACAGACAGACAGATGGAGAAAGTGGATCGTAGTAAGTAAGGCAAGTTAGCCACAGGTGTTCCTCACCGCTTGCATCCGACGTTGGCGGTCTTGTATTCTCTGAAGAGGTGGCCGCGCTCCTTCATGCACTCGCTGAGGAAAACCTCCTCATCCAGGTCGACACCCAGCTCCTGTCACACACAAAAGAAAGAGAGGGTTATGTCGTCTTCCTGTTGGTGTGTCTGTCTGTCTGTGCATCTGTGTGCTTCCCACTGACTCTTCGTTTCTTGTTCCAGTCGAGCCTGATGTTCTTCCACTTGTTCCTCTCCTTGTCGTGGTCGATGCCCTCCTGCTTCAGCAGGGGCTGCGACGCTCCCTTGTTCTCCCTCATCTCGGGCAGCTCCTCCGCATCCACGTCTTCAGGGTTGACGCACAGGTCCCGCAGCCCCTTGGGGCAGATCCGTACCACCACCCAATTGAAAATCGACGTGTCCTAAGGATTGGATGGATGGATGGATGGATGGATAAGGAAGGAGGCGCGTCATGAATGGCCCAAGAAAGTGTCTGTCTCTCCCCATCCAGTACAGCCCATTACCTGAGCGAACTTAAGCCTTTTGGCGTCAGGGTCCTCAGTGTCCTTGACTGCGGCGTTGGTGATTGGCACCAAATTGCGGATATCCCTGACAAGCACACATGGCAGACAGACGTGTGTTAGTTATGTCATCCCTGTCCGTCTCAGCATGGTGTGGTTTCCCGACTGACTTTGTGAAGATTCCCTTGATGATGTTGAGTGGGTCGTTGATGGGCGGCGGGAAGTAGGCCCGCAGGAACTTCACCTCGCGGTCCACATACATCCGAATCTCCTCCTGGAAGACCACGTCCCTAAGAACACACCGCCACCACACACACCAAACCATCCAGCCAGCCCCCAGCCAGCCATCCAGCCAGCCATCCAGCCAGCCAGCAGCCAGCCGTCCAGTCAGCCATCCAGCCAGCAGCAAGAGAGATCGGCCTTGTTTCGTACTTGCTGAGTCTGAGGAGCAGCCATGCGGACCAGAGGATGTAGGCGACAGGGTAGATGAGCAGCCCCACGCCAGCCACGCCACTGAGGGCGGCAGGTTTGATCTCGAGACCTGCCACGTTGATGGTGTCGGACCCCTTGGCAAACAGAATCTGTGCCGTCGCCTGCCCGTACGAAACCAGCATGAAATCCAACACAAACAGCAGCACGGGCCAAGGGCGAAGACCTGCAAACCGGGATGGTCAGTCAAATCAATGAACGAATGCGTCTTTGTTGCAACAAAGACGTGTGTTTGGCTCACTGACCCTGCCATGCGGCGTCGTTAGGCGCGCCGTCGGGTTTGCGCATGAATGGCCGCCAGATGAACAGGTAGTAGACGAGGAACATGAGCGGCAGCGTGACCGACACCATGACCAGGTTGCACACGTACTTGAGCTGCTTCTGCAGACGCTCGGCCTCCTCCTCAGCCTGATTGATGCACACGGCGTGGGCAAAGGCTGAGTGAGCCGTCGGCCGTCGTACGGTCACTTTTGTCCCGTGCGTACCTTCCGTGCGGCACGTGCCTTCATGGCTGCCGAGTGGGCGTTGAGCTGCAGAATGAGGTCGGGCAGAGCCGCCTCCGAGATCGTACCATTGGCATTCGAGTACTTGCCCAGCTCACGATTGTGCTCGTACTGGACGAACACATGTGTGGGTGTGGGTGTGTGGGTGTGTGGGTGTGTGGGTGTGCCGCCCCCTCTGTCCTACCTCCTGGACGACTTGAGTCCATTTGTCCATGAGGACCTTCCTGGCGACGACTCTGAATCGGTCGGGCTCGAGGGCGGGCTCGTATTTGATGTCGTCGTAGACCCGACCCACTGGCCAGAAGACCGTCTGGTCGCTCAAGTAGTCCACCTCCTCGTTGAACCGACGGCGAAGCTCAGCAGCATCATAGCCTGATGGAAGACAAGACACTTTGACATACCATACGGGTCTCTCTCTGTGTCTGTACTGACCCTGGACGTCGAAGGGATCTGCCACATCCTCTGCGGCCTCCACCTTGATGACTGCCTCGGTGGTGGGCGGTGTGTGTCTCAGCAGGGCCCGCCTCTCACTGATGCCGACATACTTCTGCGTCCCATTCTTGGCAGCCTGGTTGGCGGCCTGGTTCTGCTTCATGCGCTGCTCGTTCTGCTGGCCGCTGGACACACCCTGGCCGGTCTCGGCACCGCCCTCGAGAGACTCGCCGGTGGCCTGGTGTACCAGCCGCACCATCCAGGGGGGCAGCGCAAACTGCAAGTTGAACTTGTTGAAGGTCTCAGTGTAGTCGATGTACGACTCGGGGATGCCTGCAGGCAACAAGGGAGGATAGGGACAGCATGAGACAGATGGCTACGTGGCCGGCCGGTCTTAGTGGCGTCTCACCGTTCATGGAGGCCGTCAGGGAGAGGAACTGCGAGAGAAGGTGGGAAACATGAGACACGAGACACGAGCATTTGTTCTGTCTGTAGTGTGTCAGGAGGTGGTCGGTCTCACGTGCAGGAACTTGGCTGTGGAAAGGAAGGCTGATCCCGAGAAGATGGACATGGCGGATGCCGTGTAGGCCACGATCATCGACAGGGTGTCCGTGAACTTCTTTGTCTGGTACCACAATGCAAACCTGCACAGCCACAGACACAACAATCCCACTGACATCCCGCTCGACCCTCTCTCCCTCCGTGATCTTCCTCACCTGTAGCAGTCGACGTAGTAGGTCCTGACGTGGAGGTTGTCAGAAGCCGTCACCTCCACACGCACCGTGTCCACCTCGCCAAGGTCCAGCTTGTGGTATCCCGACATCATCTCGCCCTCATCCGTCAGCTTCTCGTCTGAATGAGGGAACACACACACAAAGAAGAAAGATGAGGGACGTAGTGCCGATAGCAGCGGAGACGGCAGCAATGTGGGTGGTGTTGTGCGTACGTTTGACTCTGACGGTTGCTTCTTTGTCCTGTGGGATGGCCTTGATGGCGAAGAGCTTGTTGGGCGTCGGGAACGTAGCCTGGTACCCAGACAACCTGATTGACGACACACACATAACACAATGGATGAATGCCCGGCCGCTTTCCCAGGCAGCCCCACCGCCCCACGCACCTCGTGCTTTCGAAGACCCGGCTGAGCTGGACGGGCCCCATCTCGCCGAACACAGTCAGCTCCTCGAGGTAGGTGTTGGCCTCCACGGGGTTGGACACCGTCACATAGTACTTGTCCTTGTACTCGCCGTTCTGCGCCTGCGTCTCGATGATCAGGGTCTTGGGAGGCTTGTCAGGGTCCACCTTGACGTACGCCGTGCCGCCACTGGCAGCCTCGCCGTTGACCTTGACGGGCATGGTGCTGTCAGCTCGCGGCGTGAAGGTGATGGTGGCAGAGGAGGAGCCCCAGGGCAGGAAGAGATGGTAGGACTTGTGGTGGGGCGAGAACTTGGGCGACAGGCTGCCGGGGGGGTCGGAGGTGATGCTGCCGAGTGTGGGGTCGATGGATGGGATGATGTCGATGGTGATGTGGTACTCGGCACGCTCGTTGCCCGACTCCGACACCACGTAGGCCGTCAGGACGGGGTGCGATTCCCTGGGAGGCGGGGTGTACTCATAGAGGCTGGTGTACTTCCTGGACTGGTCATAGCCGTGGAACGACACCATGGCGCCGTTGGACGCCTTGGCTTCGACGAGAGTGGTCTTGCCGTAGTACATGGTGCACTTGTACTCAAACACGGCGGGGTCGAAGGGCGGCTCGAGAGCCGTCACCGAAGCGGCCACCGACAGATCCTGCAGAGCTGCCGTGGTGCCGGGCAGAGTGCTCGCGATGATAAAGTACTCCGTGCAGGTGTCTCTGTCCGCAGGGTCCTTGCAGGCGAACACCGGCACCATCGCCCCCTGCACTGCTGGAACAGCGAGGGAGAACTCCATCGGCTGCCGGTTGCCGTAGATGTCGATGACGGTGTCATCGGACGACAGCCTGACCTTGATGCTTGACACGGAATCCGGACACTCGAACCGGAAGGCCACACCGCCCTCCTTGACGACCTTCTGGCACTGCCCAATCACCTCATCCGCGTCAAAGTCCGCAAGAGCTGCGCTCAGGCAGAGGGCGATTAAGGCGCCCAGCAGCCACCGGGATGGCCACTGCATGCCGCTGCGATCACTGTAATGGAAAGCCCGACGGGCTGGCGATGCTGCTGGAGGCCGAAAGGGCCACTACAACTCCGATGAGCGATAACGAAGACGCCCCAGTGCAGAGGTGGCCTCCAGGCCCTATTCGCCCTCCAAATCTCTACTGTTGATGAGATGTGAGGCGCTGACAGCGCTGTCTCCACTTTTGGCACAGCCAGATCGGAAACATGCGAGCTTGGGCCCCCACTCGCATGCAGCATCTGGAGTCACGTGTTTTGAAGGTGTGACACTGTGAGGACATGCACGCTTCACTGATACGACTCAGAAGAAGAGAGATGGTCCCTCACGCAACAGCATTATTCATGAGGGGAATGTAGCCGACAGCCGACTCTACCACTCATGCGGCAGTCACGCAAGAACACCAGTCAGTCACAGACGAAGATAGCAATGCAGGCGCTCGGCCATCCATGTGCGTCATGCCCCACCCTCCTGGTTGAGAATCCTGGCATAAGGGTTAGGGCCGTTGGGCTGGGCTGTCACCTCGGCCGCCGCCAGCTCCTCTTCCCTCCTCTCTCTGTCGATCTTCTTCAGAGCCAGGTTCCTCTTGTGCAACTCAGACAGCGCCTCGTGCTTCCGCAGCATCTCTGATGTGGTGAATTTCCGCTGACAGAGATAGCAGATGCTCCACTTCTTGGGCGCTCCGCTATCTTGTGCAGCGCCCGAGTCAGGAGCCGCCTCAGCGTCCCCGCTGTCGACTGTGTTCCACTGCTGCCAGAGAGGGACATTTTTCCGCCGTGGGCCGGTCACAGAGACGGGCATGGGGAGAGGACGGGAGCTGGTCGGTTCAGAGGGCTCCTGAGGGAGGTTGTCGCTGAGGACACTCGAGTGTCCAGCGGTTTCCTGCAGCCCTTTGACCTGCTGGTCCTGCTGCTCGCTGAAGTACATCTGCGACCGCCTGACAGTCACACATTCGTATTCACCGCTGAGAAGAAGAGGAAGACAGAGCTCCAATGGATCTCACTCACCTTTGCCATTGAACCCTGAAGGTACCTCCCAGTTTGCCGTACGTCTTCGGTCCACCTGCACCCACACAGACAGACACATGCACGCAGCGGGGATGGGAGGATTCGCCTGGACGGTTCCTGACTTGCTGTGGCTGTCTGTTCTCCGATGTTCTTGGACCTCTTGGCGTCCCTGGGCATCTCCTCCTCGTCGCCCTCGTCATCCGATATGCCGAATGCGTCTTCAACAGACTGAATCTGCAGCAACAGATATCACCACAGTGCGCACGAATGAATGAGCCTTGTGTTCACGTCTGCCTCTCGCTTCGCTTCACGCACCGTTCTCTTTCCTTTTGACGCCATTGGCTTCCCTTAAGAAACGCGATGTCACTCAGGTGTCTTCGGGCGCACGTAAAACGTCACAACTTGGGAGAAGAGACCACGAGAAGAAGTCGCTTGTGCGTGAGGATGGCCGACACACGGCAGCAGCTGTTTGACGTAGTGTGGTACTCATTCCCTTTCCTCGACGCGCCCCAACTCCTCAAGCTCGAAACAGGTGAGCGGCACCAAGCAGCGAGGAGGGTGTGGTGCTCCACGGTGGAGAAAGGCCAGGAGGGCACACTGCTGAAGGTCCATGAATTGATCTGCCGCTCTTGTGGATGGTTTGTGTGTGGCAGTGTGCAAGGAGATCCAGGCCCTGCTGCACTCGAACAACTCATCAGGCATCTGGCAGCTGCAGGTACCTGTGCTGTGGCTGCACACACGAGCACGGGCGCCTTGTTCAGCCCCACACGCATCCCGCCTTCGTTGACGTGTCTAGGCTTCTGTGCGTGAGTGCAGTATCGGCGCTCGTTCGGCAAGAAGACCAACATTCGACTCATCGAAGGGGCGGCCCACCGACCCCGAACCCGCCCCTCACCGACAGCCACAAACGCTCCTAAGTACACCACTCTGCCCGAGAGCGCCTACCGCGGGGCCGTTCTTCGAGGCGCAGTGCTCAAGAGCTTTGGTGCCAACGCCACTGTGGGTGAGCTGCGGTGGGGCAAGGCCAGCTGTGTCAACCCGATGGATGACATGAGGCGGAGCCGCCCGAGCATCTTCATCCTGCGCAGTCACCTCTACGTCTTCGGTAGCCTGGCTGGCTGGCTGGCCGGCTTATACTGTTACGGATCGTTTGTTTGTTTGTTTGTTTGTCCTTTTGGTCAAATGTCAGGTGGTGTGGTTGGCGGCAGAGATGAGCACAAAAGCTACAAAACCGACCTGTGGGGGTAGGCAAAACACACAACCACAAGCTCTCACACCCTTTGTATGCACGTGCACGTATGGGGTGCGGTGTGCCTTCCGTGATGAACAGTGTGTCCTTGAAGTCTCTCCTCTACACCGGCGAGTACGAGTGGGAGCAGTGTGTGGTCGACGGCACCCCGCCCGCATCATCCGACTCCCTCACACTCACATGCATCAACCCCAAATCGCCCCTCCCCACGCACACCGCCCGCCCACCGTCGCCACGACGGTACTTCGTCTGCGGCGGGCCGGTCGGCGCCGGTGACAAGCGAGACAGAGAGGGCTTCTGGGGTGTGCTGGAGATCGATCGCAAGGACGGTTGGGAGTATCGGTGGTTGAGCGGGCGAGAGCTTAGAGGAGGGGAGGGGGAGGTCAGGAAGAAGCGACGAGGTGACAAGACCCCGCCTCTCAATCGGTTGGCGGGCGGGTCAAATGAGAAGAAGTCCATGGCCACGTGTGCCATGCCACAAGTGTCTTTCCCTTCGCATGTGGATCGTTTGCTGCAGTCGGTACTTCACGTGTACGTTTGTGCCCATCCGGTCGTCTGCACACCCACAGGGCTACATCTTCATCTTCGGCGGCAAGGACAACACAGCTGAGTGAGGCAGCCGGCTCCCCACACATGCACACACGCAATGCGCTCGAATTCTATCCCCCTGTTGTTCGTTCTTCCTGGCAGAGATGCATTGAGTTCTTCGACCATTGTCGACGTGGCGACCTGGTCATTCGACGACAGGTGAGGACCTTGCCAGACATTGTCAACGATGTTGTGTGCCTGCCTGCATGTGTTTGTATGCAGTGATGGCAATGTGAGCGGCCTCCGTCCGACTGCCCGTCTGAACCACACGGCCACCCTCGTCAAGGACCGCTATGTCTTCATTATGGGCGGAGAGGGTATGCTGAACCACCAGATAAGTCGTATGTATAATGATCCTTGTTCATGTGTGTCTGCGTGTGTGTGTCTGCAGAGTGGGACTTGGACGACAACTTCGAGGACTATGACTCTTTCGAGAGTGACGAGCTGTTCGGATCTGTGGGTTTCGCGCGGCCCCCAGCCCTCGACATCTTCGACGGAAAGACCAAAACGTTCGCGAGCCATCCACCTCACCTCATGTCACCTCATCTCACCTCCCCTCCCCTCCCCTGCCCTCGTTGCGTCTGCTTGTTGCGACGCTCCCTTTTGGCTGTGCCGTGTGACAGGTGGATTGAGTTCGATCGCCTCCCATGGATTGCCCGCGGCACCAACCCGACAGTCGATGGTCAGTGACCTCCATCGGCCCACATGCAGATGCAACACGCCTGCCTTTCTTCTGATCAGCGGCTGTCGGGCCCTACTTGGCGGGTGTGGCGTACGTCGAGCACCGATGCGACTTCGCCCGCCACACAGCTGTGCTGGCAGGTCAGTGACAGCCGAACGACCGAGCTGGGCATATTTCACCACCCCATTGTTTGGCCTTGGTCTCCATGCGTGCAGGTGACAAGATCGTCATCAATGTGCCCTACGCCGATTATGACGAGATCGGAGTGTTGGGTGGCGTCAAGACGGTTATCTTCGACACCAAGACTGGCCGGTTCAGCAGGCCGTCGTTCGCCACGCAGCCTCAGAAGACATGTGCCGCAGCCCCTCACCCCAACATGATTCCCCGACAGTCGTCCGCTACAAACCCTACGAGCCACCGCCAGCAGCATGTGCAGCTGCCGTGTGGGCAGGCAGGTGAGTGAGTGAGTGCTGTATGCAACGCGGGCATGTAGGGAGACATCCCTTCCATCCATCCATCCATCCGTGTATTCCTTTGTTCCAGTGAGTTGATTCTGTACGGCGGTGGGAGTCTGCTGGACGAGGAGTGGATGGAGGGCGACTTCGAGCTCGCGTACGACAACGACTCCCGGCATGACCAGAGCAAGCACTCCGAGATCAGCGTGCTGGGGGTGATGGATCGCACGACAGACGACCAGATCGTCCCCGTAGACCGTCCATCGGTACGTTCGTGTGACATGGATGGACAAACCGAGCGTTGGAGGATGGATGGATGGATGTGTGTGCAGGTGGCGCCGTTCAGCCGTCGCTATGTGTGGAACCGGCAGCTGTGGCAGATGGACACGAACGGTGGCGACGCCCGCTTCGACATCGCCATGTGGAACGACGACCAGTATATCGAGGAGGAGTGGCGTTGGGATCGGCAGGCCATCGCCGAGAGCAAGGCCGAGGAGAGGGAGCAGCTGAGGGAGAGGGGCGTGGAGGTGCTCGAGAGCGGTGAGGGCGACGACTATGACAGCGTGGAGGGCTACACAGAGAAGGACATAGACGAGCGTCTGTGCGGGAACCCGCTGCCGTGCAACAAGGTGTTCGGCAAACCCACACGACGCACCCGCCACCAAGCCATCTCCAAATTCTTCACTGTGACTGGGTAGGGCGAGAAAAGAAAAAGACGCCAACTGTCGGACTTTCTCTCTCTCTGTGTCGTATGTGTGTGTGTGTGCTTTCTGTGCAGCATACTTCGCAGCGACCCCATGCACTGGTGCGGAGGACACGACACGTGCACGTCGGGCCACCAAAAGGTACATCCTTGTCTGCTTGCTGCCCCTCTTCTCCACTGCAGGACGCTGCCGAAGGATGACTCGCAAGCCAACGCCACACATACCAAAACCACCACATTCTTCTCACGGTAGATCACGCCAACCATGCGCTTAGGCAGGCGGCGTACAGAGATCCATCCATGTCTGCCTGTCTGTCTGTCTGTGTGTGTCTGTGTGTCTCATGCAGCCGTCAGAAGCCGCTTCTGGTGCAGTCCTCTCTGACGGCCTTTTTCCCCCTGACGTCGGCATGCAGCCAGACCGTCAACCACGGATACCGAGGCACCAAGAGAAAGAGATCCAACCGGTGAGGCGAAAACAGCTCAGCTGAGCTGGCAAGAGGGAGGGTGGTTACTATGTGATGTAATGTCCATGCCCTCCCTGGCAGATGAGCACGGCGGAGGGAGGCAGCACGTATCGCAGCAGTCATCTACGTGAATCGATATATGTGCTCTCGGGGCTGCAAAACGGCTCGTGTGCAGTCCAGTTTGCGTGCATGAGTGTGTGTCTATTCCCCCAGATCGGTGTGTATCGTCTCTTCAGTGGGGCGCTCGGGGTCTCTCAACTCAGATTTTGATCGTTCAATCCGTTGTCTGTCTGACTGTCTGTCTGTCTGTCTAATCGCCCCCTGCACGTGAGAGTGGACTGACAGTGTGCGTGTCTATATCATCAATGGACCCCTGTACGGGGCGACGTGAGCGACAATCACATGAATGAATGGACGAACAACTGATGACTGTCATTCTCGTCAAAGTCTGTCTCGCATGCAACAATCGTTTCTCGAGCACATTCTCAAGACACACCGCTCACACTTGGAGGGAAAACACTCTCACAAAGACACACACGCAGCCCGTACTCACACATCGCTCACCGTCACACAAAGGGAGATAAGAGGCTGCGCTAGTGTGCCCCGTACACGACCGTCCGTCAGTCAGTCAATCACCAACCAGCCAGCTTCCATAAAACTCCCTCACACAGATAAGTCAATCGACACGCGGATTGCAGATCGATTGCTGAGGCCTCCAGCCTCGCGGCACTTACAAAGTAGTGCAACGAAAAATATCTATCTTCATCCAGCGCACCCACACTTCGTCGACGCACAGACACCCACACGCCAGACGTCCGGGGACAGACGAACAGGCAAAGGCACGCGAGCCCGGCCAGCCATCCGACCCACACATTCAAGCAGACAGACAAGAAGCGTCGCAGCCGCTCAGCGTCTCTCTAGCGATCGACCACCCCCACCACCACCACCACCACCCCCACACACACAAGCAGGCAGCCAAAAGGTGTGAGCAGCATGTAGCCATCTCCCGCTCCATTCTTCTCGATGTCCACCAATCTCTGCAGAGCCGTCTTTGGCACACTCTTCCTGGGGATCGTGGCTATGAAGGTGCCAACGTTCAGCATGACCAGGATGTGTATGGGCCTCACCTCTCCCTCAGGCCGGCTGCAAACCACCGTCTGCCACTTATCGTTCTTCGTAAGCTCCAGCCCCGACGTTCTTCGTCGGGGTATGCTGGCGATCCAGCCCCCGACGTCGCAGGTGACGTTGGCAGAGGCAGGCTCGTAGCGGAAGCCGTAGTACCTAATGATGCCAAATAAGCCGTCCCTTACCGCAAACTCGATCTTCACAGCGTCCTGGCCGATATAATCAGTCGAGTACACAACGCCTTTGTCGAACGCCTCAAGGCACTTGGTAAAAGCCTGGCCAACAGCAGACATCACAGATCACGACGATAAGCTCGACACTGATTCTCTCTCTTGACCGTACCTGAAGAGACGTCGGACTGATGAGGTCCACCCACACGTCACGCGCCCCATACACGGACCCTTTTTTGGCTTCTCCCGTGCACATGATGTTTTGGTAGTTCTTCAGCTTGGTCTGAGCATCACCCAGCGTTGATCCAAGCGAGATGGGAATGCCCTCGAAGGGCAAAATGATGTGGACGCCCCAAGAACCGCCGCCGATATTCTTGACGGATTGTATCTGGGTGTTGCACATGGTAGTGTGGAAGGCCTCTTGGCTGAGGCTCGAGTCTGCGACCAGGAAGCGCTCGTAGATCCCCTGCTCGAGAATGGCAGCACACTGTTGGAGCTGCGCATTGCCGACGGAAGAGGCCGCCGGGAAGACGCCGACGCTCAGCACAGCAGAGATCATGATGGCAACTTGTGTAAGAATAGGGGGGAGAGAGTCGGGGAGAATGGTGAAGAGAGGATCTGCCGGGCGGTCAGTCCCGGATAAAGGATTAAGTCAATGCAACGTAAGGTCTGTGGATTTTGTGGAGAGTCCA